TATCTATCTATCTATCTATCTATCTATCTATCTATCTATCTATCTATACATACATACATACATACAATTTTTTCTCTCCAACTACCCTAATACTGACAAAGGACTCAAGTTACAAATATCATCTTTCCATGAAGGAATGTAAACAGTTCAACCTTAGTAAGTCCCTTATGACTTCTCTTTCCTGTTTAACTCTTCATGTTCCACTTGAGTCTTGAATTGGAAAGTCAAATTTTTTATTCAGCTCTGGTCTTTTCATCAAGAATGCTTGAAAGTCCTCTATTTCACTGAATAACCATTTTTCCCCTGAAGAATTATACTCAGTTTTGCTGGGTAGGTGATTCTTGGTTGTAATCCTATCTCCTTTGCCCTCCGGAATATTATATTCCATGCCCTGCGGTCCCTTAATGTAGAAGCTACTAAATCTTGTGTTACCCTGATTGTGTTTCCACAATACTTGAATTGTTCCTTTCTGGCTGCTAGTAATATTTTCTCCTTGACCTGGGAACTCTGGAATTTGGCTACAATATTCCTGAGAGTTTTCCTTTGGGGATCACTTTCAGGAGAAGATTGGTGGATTCTTTCAATTTCTTTTTTGCCGTCTGGTTCTAAAATATCAGGGCAGTTGTCCTTGATAATTTCTTGAAAGATGATGTCTAGGCTCTTTTTTGATCATGGCTTTCAGATAGTCCAATAATTTTTAAATTCTCTCTCCTGGATCTATTTTCCAGGTCAGTTGTTTTTCCAATGAGTTATTTCACATTGTTTTCTAATTTTTCTTTCTTTTGGATTTGTTTTACAGTGTCTTGATTTCTCATAAAGTCACTAGCTTCCAATTGCTTTATTCTAATTTGTAAGGAAGTATTTTCTTCAGTAATCTTTTGGACTTCCTTTTCCATTTGGCCAATTTTGCTCTTTAGGGCATTCTTTTGTTCATTGGCTTTTTGGACCTCTTTTGCCATTTGGGTTAGGCTATTTTTTAAGGTGTTATTTTCTTCTGTATTTTTTTTGGGTCTCCTTTAACAAGCTGTTAACTTGCTTTTCATGATTTTCTTTCATCATTCTCATTTCTCTTCCCAGTTTTTCCTCTACTTCTCTTACTTGCTTCTCAAAATCTCTTTTGAGCTCTTCCAAGGCCTGGGACTGATTCATGTTTTTCTTGGAAGTTTTGTATGTAGGAGCTTTGACATTGTTTTCTTCTTCTGGTTGTATGTTTTGATCTTCTTTGTCACCTAAGTAAGATAATATAGTCCGACTCTTTATGTGCTGCTTGCTCATGATCCCAACCAATTACTTGAGTTTTAAACTCTTTGTTAAGGTAAGAGTCTGCTTCCAATGTGAAGAGTGTACTGTCCCAAGCTTTGGGGGGTTGTACAGATGTTTTCAGAGGTACTTCTAGGGATCTGTAAATTTTCAGTTCTTCCAAGCTGCTATGATAAGGGGTGAGGTGTTTCCTCTCCACTGCCACAACAAGCTCCACCACACCAGCGCTCCTCCTCACCCCAAGACTGCCCCTCAGAACTGTGACCCAGATCCAAGCACTGGTAAAGCAAGAGATTCCTGCCTCAGCCCTGGCAAAGAGATCCCTGCAATCCCCCTCTGATCAGCTACTCAATTCCCCCTCAGTCTGTGGGCCGGAAGCTCAGAAACCAGCCGCTGCCCTCAGGGTGGCTGAGATCTAGCTTCTTCTCTCACTGCAGTCACAGACTTTTCCCACTGACCTTCTAAGTTGTCTTTGGCGTTCGTGGGTTGAGAAGTCTGGAAACCGTCACAGCTGCCCGCAATTCAGTCCTCTGAGGCCTGCTCCAGGTTTGCTGTGGCCTGCATGCCCATGCCAAACCACGCTCCTCTCCCAGCCCGGCGCCATATACCTTTCCAATCAGCCATCCAGGTTGTCTTGGGCTGGAAATTTGTTTTACTCTGCTTTTTTTTTTGTGGGTTCTGCTGCTTTAGAATTTGTTTAGAGCCATTTTTTGCAGGTATTTGGAGGGGTTTGGGGGACAGCTCTAGCAAGTCACTGATTTCCCTCTGCCATCTTGGCTCTGCCCCCTTAAATAAGGCTTGTTAATTTCTTCAACACTTCAAATCTTATTCCAATATTGTACCTCATGTCAGTGAAAAGATGCCACTGGGTTTTCAAAGCCTATGAGAGAAAAACTGGCAGTTTTTACCAAGCTGGAAAGGCTTCAAGTATGGGGTTAGCAGTGGAGTGACAGAGGAGAAAGAGTTTATCCAAGTTTTCAGATGGTCATTATCATAAAGGTGGCCCCCACATTATGATTTTTGTATGTGGGAGAGCAATTCAGAAAACTATGGTTTCTTTTTGGCCAAATCAGCTCACGAAACTTAAGCAAGTATTTCAGTGGGTAGAGCAGGGAGAAACAAACTGTATTGTGGAAAGAATAACCACAGTGATGAAATAATGTATCTTTTGCAATCATGGAGTATTGAATTAATTATATTACTATAATTGCTAACATACTTGAGCCATATTATGTTTTAAACAGTCTAACTACCATTTTTACACTTGTTGCTGAGGAAGGACATATTTCACACTTGAGACCAAAGTATAATACCATGAACTTATTTCCTCATTTCTTCCTCCCTGAACTTACTGTCTTGCCCCTCCCTAAACTTTGCAACCATTGAGAATTCAATATAGGACAACTCTGTAACATGGTGGCTCAGAGAATACTTTTACTTTCCAATGTTCTGGAAAATTCTTTAGTGCAAAAAATGTTTGAAACTCTGCAAATGTCCTTGTAATGATAGTGGTTGTGATAACAATGTTGGTCAAATTTTGGTATTCATTATCATACTATGCTTTAGTATAGACTATTCAGTTGTTTCAGTTGTGTCCAACTCTTCATGACCCCATTTGGGGTTTTCTTGGCAGAAATACTGGAGTGGTTTGCCATTTCCTATTCCAGCTCATTTTACAGATGAGAAAACTGAGACAAGCAGGGTTAAATGACTTGCCCAGGGTCACCCAGCTCGTAAGGATCTGAGGCTGAATAGATTTGAACTCAGGGCTTCCTGATTCCAGGCCTGGTACTCTTTCCACTGTACAACCTAGCTGCCCCTTAGTTCAGACTACTACCAATGAAACAAATGGTAAACATTTATGAGGCACTTATTATGTGCCAGACTCTGCAATGTTGTGCAAATTAACTGAGATAAGCAATGATTTTAATATGGTTTAATTTTATAATAATAGTCATATTATGAGCTTCTAAGGATACTATCAAGGCTTGGAATGTCTGACCTTAACCAGATGAAACTGCATTTCCCTCACTTTTAGTTAGTTATCTGTGAGTTGAGTCCTAGATTTCATCTTATATGCAAATATTCCATTTTTTTTCTTAATTTGAAGGATTTTGATAATGGAAGAATTGTAAGTCTTTTTTTCCAGTTCTTATTTTTTATTTTTAATTATTTTTAATTAATTAATTAATTTTTAGTTTCCAGCAGTCACTTCCACAAGATTTTGAGTTCCAAATTTTCTCCCCATCTCTCTCCTCCACCACCCCAAGACTGCGTGCATTCTGAATACCCTTTTCCCCAATCTGCCCTCCCTTCACCACCCCCTTCTCTTATTCCCCTCCCCTTCTATTTTCCTGTAGAGCAGGATAGATTTCTATACCCCTTTGCCTATGTATCTTATTTCACAGTTGAATGTAAAAACAATTTTTGATATTTGTTTTTAAACCTTTGAGTTCTAAATTCTCTCCCTTCCTCCCTTCCCCACCCATCCTCATTGAGAAGGCAAGCAGTTCAATATAGGTTATACATGCAAAAGGTAGTCATGCAAAACACTTCCATAATAGTCGTGTTGTGAAATACTAAACTGTATTTTCCTCCATCCTATACAGCCTCCCATTAATTCCATTCTATCCTTTGACTCTATCCCTCCTCAAAAGCATTTGTTTCTGATTACCCTCTCCCCCAATCTGCCCTTTTTTCTATTATCTCCACTCTCTTATCCTCTTTCCCCTTATTTTCCTGTAGGATAAGATAGATTCCCATGGCCAATTGAGAAGAATTGTAAGTTTTAAAGAACATACTTATGTCCTCATACCATCTATAGTGAAGAGTTTCAAGGATGAGGTATAGGTTTCTTGAAGGTGGAAGAACAGCAAAAAGATCAGTTAAAAAAAAACAAAACAGTGCTATGAAGAAAAAAAAAATGCTTGTGCCCAACAAGAAAATACAAAGACTGGAGTGCTGAAAATTGGGGAAAGTAATATTTATTGATAAAACTCACATTTTTACTGGTCTATATAGCAAAACCATTGTCTGAAGTCTGGCAAGCATTTTAATCTAGGTATATCTATCAACTTTAAAATATCCACTCCCAAAATGTTTTGTGGCTATCTTTTAATTGTATTGGGCAATAAATGGAAGTGAAATTGGAAATGTCCTCATTGAAGGAATAAAGAACTTCAATAAATATATCAATATACTGGAAAAATCAATGGAATGATAATCAGTTTACCTAAGTTCATAGCTTAGTTTTGTTGTTTACCACCTTTGTAATTTATTGAACCTTTTGGGGCCTCATCTTTACAAAATGAAGGAGTCAACTAGATGTATTTGAGTCTCTTCCACCTCTGCTATTTTTTATTTCTTTGAAGTTTTAGCTTACTTTCCATAATTACAACAGCTTAATGCATATCAATTTCTCACATTATGACAAATATTTTTTCTTTCTAAAATTAGATAAACTTTCTAAGTTAAAATTGAAAAAGATCTACCTGAAAATACTGATTTGGGGCAGCCAGGTTGTTTTTTTCCTCCATTAGGATAAAAATCTATATGTCCAATAGAGTGGCTGATACCAAGACCTAAAGATAAATTATTCAGGAATTATAAGATATACATGATTCAGTCAGTAGTACAATATTCAGAAAATAGTATTACCTTAGATTTTTCAGATATTTGGATAAAACTTAAAAGCAAAAAATAAGTTAATATAAATCACACATCCAAGACAAAATTCCATGTTTCCTGTCTATTGTAAAATAAGTTCTTGGCACTTTGAAAATATCATACTTATTAACAAGAATCCTTACTGAAGGGATCTGGGTAATTAAAGGCAAGAGATTCTCACTTATTTTCTTTGAAAATTGAGGCAATATTCAGCCATCTCCAACCCTGTAATGTATCTTTGGTTTTCTATGATCTTTCAAATATAATTGACAAAGGGGTCAAGTATCATACCTCACGTTCATGCTAAAGAAGCTGTAAAATATTATACATACATTTTTTGTGTTTTTATACGTATGTGTGTATATACAGAGGAAGACAAATAGTAACCATGATAGGCTCAATAAAAACTGACACAGAGAAGACATAATTGCTGAAAAAAGTGCCAAGTATACATTTTTTTTGCATTTTAGTTATGGTCTGGTCATTGGAGTTTATTTTTGTTAAGACTCTAAATGTTGTTTAGTGAATCATCAGTCATGGGGATAACAAACTGATATACAAATACAAAATATGTAAATACAAATACACATATATATATACACGTGTGTGTATAAAATCTATTTACATGTGCAAAAACCTTTCGTAGGGTTACATGTCAAGACTACTGAAAATTTGAGTTACAAGATTTAGATAAGAGGACAGGATATTGTCATAGATGTGTAGCTCACATAAACATAATAAACCAAGAATAGGGATGAACTAGTACTTCTCTGTATAGAGTAGTGTAAAGTGTAAAACTTCTCAGGGATTGTTGCTAGGGTTAGTCTTCCTTAATATCTGTATACACAATTCAGAATGGGAAGTATACAGGGATCCTAAAAGTTTATATATGAAAAACTAAACATTTTCTAAAGTAGATGAGGGGAGGTGTTATTGGAATGAATGGTAATCATAAATAGCTACTAAGAAAGCTAAAATTAAATTCAAATAAGCATTTTTATTAAGCATTTATTCTGAGTAAAGCACTGTTCTGGGCATTGGCAATGTAAAAATCAAAAGTGAAATGGTCCTTGTCCTCAGAAGGGGGGGAGGTGACATGGTATGCTAATTTAAGCCTAGAATAACAGATTACATTTCATTACACCTACCAACTCTCTTTTTTCTCTTTTTTATTTTTCATATCTCCAACTGTTTTTATTTCTATTCACTTTCAAAGAAAATTTTTCAAAAATCAAGCTATTATTACCATTAATATCAGAATGGATGACATCAACAAATTGTGCATCTGTATAATCTAATCTCATTTTTCTTGGCATATTATTGAAACCTGGTCCTGCTGGGTCAATGCTTGAAATGCAAGAAAGAAGTTAGCATGCTAAAGGTTAAGTTTGACTTCAGTACATGTGAGAATTGGCAGTTGAGTATTAGTCACACTACTTTTTCATTTTGAGATGAAGCCTTACTGATAATGTCTTCAAAAGGAAAAATAAAATCTGGAATGAGTAAATAGCTTCATCCTATAAATGATTTTGTTATTAGCTCCCTGTAAAGTTGATTTTAAAAATCACCTTGCCTACTTGATCACCAAAAACAGCATTGAGATTTTAACTTTTTATTGATTTTCTTTTTTTAATTTTATTTTTAATTTATGGAATAAAATAAACATTTTCATAATATAGTAGAATAAAAAGATGATTGCACATGAAACTGTAAATCTACTATGTTTTAACTTGCTATTCCTTTCAAATATACAATAAAATTATAATGTAAATATTTTCCCTTCCCTCGCCTCTCCTCCACTCTGGAGATGGCTACCATTGATGCAAAAATATTTAGGAGCTGGATAAATAAGTGATTTTCCTAAACAAGCATTTGATAGTGGTATTTATTTCACTTACTGGCTCATCTTAGTCTGATCCAGGAAAGTTAAGTGGAGATTTGCAAATGTAAGACACTATTACCACTGGCTCTGGAAACTGGTGGTGAGAGTCAGCTGAGGCAGTTGGGGTACAAATAAACTGCAAATGTCTTTGAAAATGACCAAGGTTTCATATCTTTTCCTAAGGCAGCACAGCACATTTGGTAGGAGTTGTTTAGAGTTTTGAGAACTGTACTGTCCCTCTGTAGCTAGATAAATGCTACATTAGCTCAAACTCCATATATTCTGTAAATAATTAGTAATGTGCCCAATTATAATTTGTTAATTAATAAACATTTGTTAAATGATTATTTTGTTTTATGTTATTTCCTCTAATTGTGAGAGAATTCCTTTTACAAAACCTAATCTATCTCAGGTGAACTAAGGGGAAGAGGGTTTCATCCCTAGTCTTAGGACTCCAAATCCAACAATCTTTCCACTTTACCAAACTACTTCATATACTTTTCAGACAAATTGTTGCCTGACCTTGCATCCTCAATCTTATATTAGCAAAGTTCATCTTTTTCAATTCAGTTATAATAATTTAGCTGTAACCTTACAAATTTGGAAAATTAGATTCAATCCGATGATCTCTTTTGAATTCTGACTGCTTTCCAGGGTGCTTACTATCTCTGTCAGTTTTCTGTCATCTTCAATTTTTACAAATATCTATGCCTTTATCAAAATTATTAAAAATAAAATGTTAAACAGCACAAGGACTAGCATAAATCCTTTGGGCAATACCCTGGAATCGTTCTTCCAAACTGATATCAAACCATTAACAACAATTTTAGGGGTCTGGTAATTTAATCAGCTTAAAATCCAACTGAGATGATTTCAACTAGCCTGAATATTCCCACCAAGGATAATGAAAAATTGTCAGATATTTTGCTAGAATCAGCTAAATGACATCTATAGCATTTTACTGATCTACCAGTCTGGTAGCCTTGGGTTTCTTTTCTTTTCTTTTTAAGGCTAACAGGGTTAAGTGACTTGCCCAGGTCACATAGCTAGTAAGTATCTGAAGCCAAATTTGAACTCAGGTCCTCCTAGTTCTGGACTGGTGCCTGATCCACTGCACTACCTAGCTGCCCATCTAGTAGTCTTGTTAAAAAAAAAAAAGAAAAGAAACGAGACTAATATAGCATCACTTGTTCTTGATGAGTTTTCTGGTTCTTGTAAGCACCATTTTCTTCTTAAACACGCACTGACTATCCCTATAATGATCCATTCTAGAATTTTACCAAGAAGTGAATTCAAACTCACTGTTGTCATCTTTTCTTTGAAATCTTAAGCCATATTTCTTTGTTTCCAGTCTTATAGTATTTAGAGTACTCTCCTGTTTTCTATAATCTTTCAAGCATCTCTGACAGTGTATCAAGAACCATATCTGCTAGTCTTTTCTATACCTGGGTATATAGTTCATCAGGTGACTAGAACTCATGAAGAGCAACTGAGGCATTCTCTTATTTTCTTACTTAATATCAACTTCCTATTAACTATTTTTAGTCTGGTAATTCCAGTTTAAAACTCATTCTTCTTGAGAGAAAACCAAAATAAAAAGAAGAATTATGTAAATATTCCCTTTTTTGTCTTTGCTTATCATTATTTTATCTACAGCAATTAGTAGTGTTGTTCTTTCTATGATCCTTCTCTTTTTGCTGTTTTATAGATCATCATCCATCTATTTCTCATTCTGTAGGAGGTTTGTCTGTTCTCTTGCATAGTATTTCTAAAAAGACCACTCTAATGTCCTGGAGCTCTTATTCTAGGTTTTATGATATTTTTGCATATATCTTTGCTCAATTTGGGTAGTCCACCTATTTTCTCTTATTCTTACTACCAGCATGGTACTTTTCCCAATAATGTATTTCCTGAATGATATATTTAATTTTTAAAATATATTTTATTTCATTAAATGTTTTCCAATCATATGTAAAAACATTAATTTTTAGAATTTAGAGTTCCAAATTCTCTCTCTCCTCCACAAACCTCTTCTCCTACTTGAGAAGGCAAGCAATTTGATATCAATTATATATGTGAAGTCATGCAAAATATATTTCCATATTAGACATATTAAAAAAGAAAAAAAAGACTTAAAAAGAAGAAAAATAAAGAAGTTTTAAAGTATGCTTCAATGTGCATTTGGAGTTCATCAGTTCTCTCTCTGGAGATAGATAACATTTCTCATCAGTGGTCCTTTGGAATTATCTTGGATCATTGTCTTGATCAGAGTAGCTAAATCTTTCACAATTGATCATCCTTACAATATTGTTCCTATTGCATACAATATTCTGGTTCTTCTCACTTCACTTTGCATGAGTCCATAAAAGTTTTCCTAGGTTTTTCTGAAACCATACTGCTGGTCATTTCCTATAGCATAATAGCATCCCATCATAATCATATACCACAACTTGTTCAGCCATTCCCAGATGATGATCATCACCTTGATTTTCAATTCTTTGCCACCACAAAAAGAGCTGCTATAAATATTTTTGCACAATTAGGTCCTTTTCCTTTTGTTTTTTGCTCTCCTTGGGATACAGACCTAGTAGTAGTATTGCTGGGTCAAACGGGATGTACAGTTTGATAGTTCCAAATTATTCTTCAAAATGGTTATGTTAACTCATACCTCCACCCACAGCATGTTACCGTCTCAATTTTGTCACATTCCCTCCAATATTTGTCCTTTTCCTTTTTCTGTCGTATTAACTAATCTGCTAGGTATGAGGTGATATTTCAAATTTGTTTCAATTTATATTTCTTTAATCAGTAGTAATTTAGAGCATTTTATGTGATTATTGAAGGCTTTGATTTCTCTTGAAAGTTGCCTGTTCATATCTTTTGACTGTTTAAAAATTGGGGAAAAGGGGAATGACTGGAGAAGTCATGATATATGAATGTGATGGAATACTATTATGCAATAAGAAATGATTAGCAGGCAGATTTCAGAAAATTCTTGAAAGACTTATATGTAGTGATGAAAAGTAAAATGAGCAGGCCCAGAAAACATTGTGCACAATATCAACAACATTGTGTGATGATCAATTATGAATGACTCAACTCTTCACAACAACACAATGATCCAAGACAACTACAAAGAACTTATGAAGGAGAAAGCTTCCAGATAAAGAGCTGATGGACTCTGAATGTATGTTGAAGCATAGTTTTTCCCACTTTATTCTTTCTTGTGTTTTTTTTAATCTGTTACTTTTTTCACAACTGTGACTAATATGGAAATATTTTTATGGGATAGCATATGTATAAACTATATCAAACTGACTATCATTTTCAGAGAAGGAGAGTGGAGAGAGGGAGGAAGAAAAATTTGGAACTCAAAATCTTGTAAAAATGAATGCTAAAAATTTTCTTGACATGTCACTGGGGAGAAATAAAATACTATAAAAAAGAATAAAAATTGGGGAATGATTCTTATTTTTATAAATGTGGTTCAGTTAATTTGAGAAATGAGGCCTTTGTCAGAAAAAAAAATTGTAAAATTTTCCTCTCTATTTCCTACTAAATAGGCTGCATTACTTTTGTTTACACAAAAGCTTTCAAACAAAATCAAAAGAAAAAAAAAACATGAACTATCTCATTGGGGGAAAAAAACTGACCTGGAAAATAGATCAAGGAGAAATAATTTTTTTATTTCTATTTTTTAAAATTTATTTATTTTTAGTTTTCAACATTCACTTCCACAATATTTTAAGTTCCAAATTTTCTTCCCATCTCATCCTTCCCCCCTTCTTTTATCCCAGTTGCATGTGAAAACAATTTTTTTAACATGTGTTTTTAAAACTTTGGGTTCCAAATTTTCTCCCTTCCTCCCACCCCACCCACCATCATTGAAAAGGCAAGCAACTCGATACAGGTTGTACATGTGTAGTTATGCAAAACACTTCCATAGTAGTCATGTTGTGAAAAACTAACTATATTTCCCTTAATCCTATCCTATCGCCCATTTATTCTATTCTCTCTTTTGACCCTATCCCTACTCAGAAGTGTTTGCTTCTGATTACCCCCTCCCCCAATCTGACTTTCCCTCTGTCATCCTCCTGCTCTCTTGTCCACTTCTCCCCCTATTTTCCTCTAGGGTAAGACAGATTTCCATACCCAAATCAGCGTATATATTATTCCCTCCTTAAGCCAAATCCTGTGAGAATAAGATTCACTCATTCCCTCTCACCTTTCCCCATTTCCCCTCCACTGCAAAAGCCTTTTCTTGTCTGTTTTATGTGAGATAATTTACCCCATTCTACCTCTCCCTTTCAAGGAGAAACAATTTAAAAAATTATTGGACTACTAGAAAGCCATGATCAAAAAAAGAGCCTAGACATCACATTTCAATTAATTATTAAGAAAAACTGCTCTGCTATTCTAGAATCAGAGGGCAAAATAGAAATCGAAAGAATCCACTGATGACCACCTGAAAGAAATCCCAAAATGAAAACTCCTAGGAATATTACAGCCAAATCTCAGAGTTGCCAGTCAAGCAGAAAGGAGACACCCAAGGTCACACAATTTGAACTAGGGTCTTTTACTCCAGGGCCAACACTTTATTCATTGCATCACTTAGCTCCTAAATTTGTTGTCATCCTCATTGGAATGTGAGCTCCTTGAGAGTGGGAAGTGTTTTATTTTTCTATTTGTCTCTTTGCACATAGCAAATGTTTCATTCACTCAAATATTCATTTGTAAAATGAAGAATATGAGCTTGATAACCTCTAAGGATCCTTTTAACTTTAAAACTGTGATCCTGTGAGTTCAGTAAGTGGCCTGGTCCGCAAAGATCCTGCTTTGATATCTCATAATGACATGAAGATAACCCTGCATTGTCAGAATGCCTATAGTTGATTATAAGCTTTGTAACATCCTAACAAGCTGAAAAGAGTTTTGAGTACAGGCCTCATCATTGACTGTTTCAAAGTCACCTAATTTAGTTGAGAGAAACTCAATACCTGAATAAAAGTTGGCCCCTAGATGATTACTATATTTTAACCACAGCAGCTTATGAAAACAACCTACTGAAGTATTACATTGTGGTGGTGTTGGGGGGTAGAGTAGAGGTGTGATCATTCAGTCAACAAGCATTTATTAAAGCTTTAGTATTTGCCAAAAGAAAGTATATAAGAATATGCTACATTAGCTTGCATTATTAATAATGTGCTTCTCATGTTAGTTCACTTGTTTAAAGATCCAAATTTATTCCCATCTTTATCTAAATAGCAGTGGTCTGAAAATGTAGACACATTATTTCACAAATACAATACTCTCTTTTGTTTTCTGCTTTTTGCTTTTGCTACAGGTAGGATTTACTTGTCAGATAGGAAAGCTCACTTAAAATATGGACAACTTTTAATTTTCAAAAAGCCCTTTCACAGAAAACAATTGAGACAATAAATTGCAATATTTGTACCCTTATTTTAAAATGTACCTGTTGAACAATAAATGAAATAACTCTTGGTGTTTAAAAGTGTGCTTTGATTAGCAATTCCATTTAAATTACTTACCAGTAATTCTCCCAAGTTGACCATTAAATAGGCTTCCAACACATCCTGATATATGAGCCCCAAGGCTCACTCCTATGAAATGAAAAGACTGAAGAGGAATTCCATATTTCTGTAATTAAAAATATATTATGATTTATATAAATTTTAAGATATACAGTTTGGTTAAAAAATGTTTCAATTTCCAAGACTCAAATACCCATCTTTTCCATTTTAATTCCAAATCTGAGCTACAACATCACAGCACCCTCTTGTCACTTCTATCTATTAATAATTACTCTTTCCATTTCCTAGCATCTTCATTAGATACCACTTCAGCCACCATTAGCAATGTCATTCAGGAGTGTTTTACCTTCAAGATTTCAATCTTTTAAATTCCCTTATGACCCTTCTATATCTTCACCTAAATCAGGCCCTGTACTCTACTGGATTTGTTTGCCCTTTTTCACAGCCATGTGCTCTTTTACTACCTAATATTCTCTTTTCTAACATCCTTTGCCTCTCTACTTAATCTTTTCTCCCATAGTTAGTTATATCAATGTCATTTTCACTAGCAACCTAGGAGGTCTCAGCCCTTGATCTTCTATCATACTTGTCAGTCATATCATATTTGTCAATATAGAGCTAAATATACTAGCTATAGCAATGAGACAAGAAAAAAAGGAACTGAGGGAACAAGCATAGGCAAAGAAAAAACAAAATTATCACCTTTTGCAGATTATAGAAGAGTTTAATTAGAGAATCCTCTAAAATAGTAATTGAGTCAATCAGTCAAGATGTAGGATATAAACTAAAACTGTACAAATAATCAGCATTTCTATATATATCAGAAAAAAATCTAACCATAAGAGAGAAATTCCTTTTGAATTAGGTAGAAACAATATCAAATACTGACTAATCTATATGACAAGACGTATGGGAACACGATTACAAAGCATTTTTCACACAAAGACAGATCTAAATAAATGAAGAAATACCAATTGCTTATGGTGAGAATGAATCAATATAACAAAACTGACAACACTATCTAAATTAATTTACTTGCTCAGTGTCATATCAACTAAACTACCAAAGTATTACTTCATAGAAATAGAAAAAATAGTAAAAAAATTTATCTGGATGAATAGAAGATCAAGAATATCAAGGAACAAATAAAAAAATGGAAAGAAAGGGAGCCTAGCAGTACCAAATCTCAAACTATGCTGCAAAGCCATAATCATCAAAATGATGTGGCACTTGATTGTAAATAGAGAAGTTGATTGATGGAACAGTTTAGATACACAATATGCAGAAGCAAATGATCACGGTAACATAGTGCTTGATATTTCAAAAGATTCCAACCACTGGGGCAAGAACTCATTATTCAACAAAAACAACTCAAAAAATTGGAAAAAAAAAAAAAGTCTGACAGAAACTATGTAGAGACCAACATCTCACAGTGTAAACAAATAGGTCCATCATTTATGCATAAAGGGTGATATCACAAATAAATTTGAGAAGCAGGCAATAAATTCCCTGTCAGATTTATGAGCATTATGAAAGTTCATGACGAAACAACCTGGGTTCATAAGAAAAAAAACAGACAATCTTGATTACATATATTTTTGCACAAATAAAATCAATGCAGTGAATATTAGAAAAGAAGGCGGAGATTGGGGAAAATCTTCACAGAAAGTTTCTCAGTCTAATTTCTAAGACATGTAGGGAACTGAGCCAAATCTATAAGAAAAAAAATTTGCCAGTTGTTAAATGGTCAAAAGATATGAATAGGCAGTTTTCAGAGGAAGAAATTAAAACTATCAACAGCCATACAAAATTATCTAAATCACTAATATTAGAGAAACGCACACTTAAATGACTCTAAGGTACAACCTCAAAATTTTTCATGTTAGAAAAATTAACAAAAAAGGAAATCAACAAATACTGGCAGGACTATGGGAAAACAGGAACATTAAAGCCCTGTTCCTAGAGCTGTGAAGTTGCCCAATATTTTTAAAAGTAATTTAAAACTATGCCCCCTAATGCTACTAATTTATACATATCTTTTGACCCAATGATGCCACTACTAGGTCTATGCTCCAAAGAGATTTTAAAAAAGAAGAAAATGTCCCAGAGTTACAAAACTAATTATAGCACCTCTTCAGTTGGTAGCAAATAGTTAGAATATTTGGGGAATAGCCAAACAAGATTTAGTATATGAATTTGAAGGAATACAATTTGTTGTGTTGCAAGTCATGATGAATTGTTAGATAAGAAAAACCTGAGAAAACTTGGATGAACTGGTGCAAAATGAAGTGAATAAAACCAGGAGAACAATTTGCAGAATATTATAAAGAAAAAAAAACTTTGGATGACTTGGGAGCTCTGATCAAAGCAGATCTCCAAAGGACTCATTATTAAACAAGTTACACACCCCCACACTGATAAGTGATGAACTCAATGCAGATTTAGACATATATTTGAATTTTTAAAATTATGGCTAGTGTGGGAATTTTTTTCCATATATATGTTTTTAATTAATTTTGCTTTTCTTGAATTTTCTTTGGAAGGGGAAGGAATGGGAGGAGTTCAAGAGATAAGAATTCAATTCTTATACCTAATTCAAGAATTAAGAGATTAAAAATAAAATTGAATTTAAATTTGAATTAATTTTTTTAAAAATCCTAGATTTAAAGAATGTACAAAAAGAAGCTGGCAATATGAGCTATTATAATAGAGAATGAATTGTGGTACAGACCCTGAAGCAGTGACAAATGAGGCAGTATGGTGGTTCATTAATAGTTAAGTAATTCACTGTATCAAACACAGGACTTGGAGTCAAGAAGACTGAATATAATTCCTACCTCAGACACTTAGTGGTTATGTGTCTTTGGGCAAGACAATTGTTCTCTTGCAGCCTCAGGTCTGTGCAGAAAAATGGAGATAATATTAACATTTACACATTAGACTATGAACTCCCTACTAACTTGAACTGTTTTTTTATTTTTCTTCATAGGCCTAACTCTTAGCACGGTGCCTGGCACATAGTAGACATTCAATAAATATTTGTTGACTTACCTCACAGGGTTACGTTGAGGATGAAAAGAGATAATATATGTACAATATTTCATAAACCTTAATGCTCTATATATCAGTGATTCTCAAATTGTGGTCTAGGATCTCCCCAGAAACCTTCCATGTTTCCATTAGAGCTATGCTATTTTAATAATGATACTAAGATTTCTGAATTTCTAATACAGCAAATATCAAAAATATAACTCACATAAACAAAAACTCTTTGAGGAAATCCTCAACAATATTTCATACTACAAAGGTGCCCTGAGACCAAAAAGGTTTGAGAATTGTTTTTCTCTATAAATGCTATCTATCAATAACTATTAAAAATATGTGAGGAAAAAAGCAGAAATTCTCCATTTTTATTTTGATTCTGTTTAATCTAAAATTAGAGAGATCTTTACATTGGAAACACTAGAGCAAAAATGGCTAATAGAGTTCATGACCAATCAATGTAAGGAAATGCTAGAAGAGATACTTAGCTGCATTTGATGAATTGCTGTCATCTGACTCTGATGTTCTACATCATCGGGTACTAAAAGAATTGGCAGGAGTAATAGGTAAGCAAAAATGTGTGATATGTAAAAGATAATAGAGAATGAGAGAGATATTGAAGGACCAGAGAAGTACAAAGTTTCTTCTGATTTCCAAAGAAGGGAAGAGAACAGAATCTATTAATCATAGAACAATTGAGTCAATCAGGGTTCCTCTCTCTTTCGAAGTTGATTATCTTTACAATGTTTTAATATTTAATAAATTTGTTCTGATTCTGCTCACTTAGCTTTCCATTCATACATCTAATTCTTCTAGATGTGTGTTTTTGGTTTTTTTGGCTAGGCAATGGGGTTAAGTGTCTTTCCCAGGGTCATATAGTAAGTGTCAAGTGTCTGAGGCCGGATTTGAACTCAGGTCCTCCTGACTCTAGGGCCAGTGCTCTATCCACTCGGCCACCTGGCCACCTAGCCACCCCCAGTAGTTGTATTTTTAAAAAGCATCCCCTTTCTTATTTTTATAGCACAGTAATTTGTTCAGCCACTACTCACTTGATAGGCACCCTATGAATTTCTAATTCTTTCTATCCCAGAAAAGTTCCTGTAAATATTTTTGTATATGTAGATAATTTTTCTTTTTCTTTGAGACCATTAGGGCATAGACCTAACAGTCATATAACTGAGTCGAAGAATATGCACAGTTTAATAACTTTCATACACAGTTTTGTATAATAGTTCTAAATTTCTTTCCAGAATGGTTGGACAAGTTCACAGGTCCACTAATACTGTATTGAAATATTTATTTTCCAAGACCCCTGCCAGCATTTGCCATTTTTATTTTTTGTCAACCTAGCCAATATGGTAGGTAGGTGGTGGTACCTCAGAGTTGCTTTAAGTTGTGTTTCTCTAATTATAGTAAGTTAGATAATTTTCTTTACATGGCTAGTGATACCTTTCATTTCTTCCTCTGAAAATTGCCTGTTCATATTTTTGATTACTTCTCAATTGAGGAATGTCTCATTCTTATAAATTTGATTCAATTGCATATTTATCATAAATAAGACTTTTAGCAGAAAAACTTGAGGCAAAGATATTTCCCCCGAAATCCCTATTTCTCTTTCAATTTTATCTGTATCAATTTCACTTGTGTAAAACCTCTTTTTATTCTATGTAATCAAAACTATCCATTTTACCTCTTGAGAATCTATCTCTTTTTTCTTCGCGAATTCTTTCCCTATCCATAGATCTAATAGATAATTTTTCCCATACTCTCTAATTTATTTATGGTGTCACATTTTGTGTCTAAATCATGAACACATTTGAAACTTATCTTGGTATATGGCATCAGATGTTCACCTAAACCTAGTTTATATAAGACTATTTTTCCATTTTCCCAACAGTCTTTGTCAAAAAGTGAGTTCTAATTCCATAATCTGGAATCTTTGGGTTTATCAATCACCAGTTTACATTTGCTTCTCTACATAATCTGCTCCACTGATCAACCCCTCTGTTTCTGATTCAGTACCAAAATATTTTAACGATTATAGCTGTGCAGAAGAGTTTGAGATTTGGTACTGCCAGACAACCTTCCTTCTCTTTTTTTCCCCTTGATTCTCTCGATATGATTGGAAAAGACCCTGATGTTGGAAAAAATTGAAGGCAAAAAAAGGATGGAAGATGATGAGATGCACAATGTCATAAGCTTGAATGAACTTTCTAAGATAATATACACTAGAAGGCCCTAATATGCTATGGTCCATTGGGTCACTAAGAGTCAGACATACTAAATGAATGAACAATAACTCTTGATATGATGAATATTTTGTTCTATCATAAGAATTGTGTTACTCTTTTTCTAATTCTATAAAGTAATCCTTTGAAAGTTTGAAGTGTTAGTGAATATAAGTAAGTTAATTAGGTAGAACTGTCATTTCTATTCTATTTTTCTAGCCTACACATGAGCAAGAATTCTTTCTCCAAATATTTAGATTTGTCTTTATTGGAGGAAAGAGTGTTTTATAATTATGTTCATATAATGCCCATGTGTGTCTTAGCAGGTAGACTACCAAGTGTTTGAAACTGTCCGTAGTTAATTCAAATGCAATGTATTATTATATCTCTTCCTGCTATATTTTGTTGGTTACATAGAGAAAAAACTGATGAATTGTATGAGTTTATTTTGTATCCTATCACTTCACTGAAATCGTCAATTGTTTCAATTATTATTTTAGTTGAATCTCTAGGGTTCTATAACTAAAACATCATATCATTTGCAGAAACTAATAATTCTGTTTCCCCTTGGCCTATTCTTATTCCTTCCATTTCTTTTTCTTGTCTTATTGTTATAGCTAGTGAGAAAAGCAAATTAGTTTTAAAGTCTTTTAGAGAAAAGAAGCAACTTTAATACTCTGATCAATGTAATGATAATGCATCATTCCAAAAGGCTCAAGATCAAGAACACACTTCCTGCTAGAGAAGTGATAGACTTACAATGAAAAATGATACACCAATTTTTGGCTATGAGCCATGGTTATAGGTTTCTGTTTTGCTAAGCCATATATTTTTGTTTTGAGGGTTTCATATTTCTTTTCATTTCTAGTATTGTTCATTGGGATAGGGGGAAGATAAAGTAGGGGAGGTAGATAATTAACATGTGTAAAAAATTTAGAAAGAGAAAATGTAATTCAATCATATGTGACATGTTTAGCTGTTTTATGAGATTTTTTTTTAAAACCTGTAACATAAGCACTTTACCAAAAAGCCCATATTTCAGTATTATTTCAGTAAATAGAGTTCTAAATGCAACATTTCATTTTAATTTTGGTCCAAGTCAATGAATGTTATTCTATTATCATCTTAGGATAAATAGTAACTCAGTAAATCGCTTTCCTTATTTTGTCAACAGTTTTGTTTAACAAGTTTTCCTTTTTTCAAATTTTACTTTATGATATTGCTTAAGGCACTGTTTCATTTATTCATCTTTTGTTTTATATTGTTTCAGGTAAACAAATTCCCAACTTACCATCATCCTTTTAACATACTCTTTCAATATTTCAGCAACTGTCCAGCTTCTTCGTATGGCTCTTTCACAAAGTAAAGTTGTAGCACCATGATTCCAATCAACTATGATTACATTCAGATCTTCTAAAGATAGCAAAATTTTTGTTAATTTTTGAAGCCATACTGGGTTTGTGCCAAATGGCCTATATCCATGAATAATCCAAACTGTTTTCTTGGTGTGTTTGAACTCATTATTAAGTACAAAATTCACTGTAAAAAGAGGCTGAGCACAGGTTATAATTTCCCTTGTGTACAATATCAATTTGACTTCTATATGTGACTCAAAAATATCAATGAAAGCATCATTCAAACTCAGTTCAGTAAAGTGAAGACAGCATGTTTTGCCATCTGAAAAGCAAAGGATCAAAACCAAAAGAGTTAGCATAGGCTAATTTACTTCAGATATTTTTTTGAAGTCCATAAAGAAAAAAGAAAGATTTGTGGAAAGTGGATTTTAGCCATTCAGTTTTACTCATTTTTTTAAAACCATAATGTAAATGTTGCAAAGAAATGTATATCCACTAAATATATTTTCTTGTGACTGACATTATCCAGATTGACCCTATTTGCTCTTCAAATGATGAGATAAAATACACCTTTAGATTCCTTTCCTTTCTGCCTAGCAAATACCAAAATCAAAGGCAAGTAACATTTGAATAATTGAGATACAGCTTGGTATAGTGGAAAGAGCACTCCCTGGGATATAATACTTTGTTGCACTACTGTATCATTCCTTCTCATTTATGAAATACATCTTCTCATGTATACATTCCCCACGTAACACACACCGCCAGCACACACCTTGATTTCTTTAAAAATGTTTAAAATATTGTTAAATAACTAATCAATCAATGAGACATTATTATATTTTCTATTAAACTTTGGTTAAGTCACTGATTTAAATACACTTTAAGTCCTTACATTTTCTGCTAAACACACAAAAAAATTATAAAAAGCAGCATATGAACAACTAGTACATTCTGATTTCTTTTCAAAGTACAGTCAATTCTCAACTTTCATAGGAGTAACATTCCTCAAAAAAACATGAAAGTAAAAAACACTAATGTTGACACATTGAACCTATGGGAAATAGAGGGTTAGGTTCCTGCAAACACACACACACACACACACACACACACACACACACATTCACACACATACCCTGTAATTTCACTAGAGATGGCTGAAAATATACTTTTCTGCATATAATTCTTTATAACAAACCATTAATTCTGATAATGTGGACTTTTACTAACACAGTAACCATGAAATAACCTATAAAATGTAGTACACAAAATAAAATTGGTAACATGCAGAAAACTTTTTCTTACTGGTAATTCCCTAGAGTTCTATGATCTTTTATACTAATATCTCTATTAAAATTATTTCAGACAATATTTACTTTTCATAACACATGAAAGAGCACCATAAATATTGTACAGCAAATAAAATTCTTAAAACTAAAACTTTTTAAAACCTGAATCTTACTTTCCACTGTCAGATGGTGGCATGAGGGTGTATACTGTATATATGTACTGTATATATATGTTGCTATAAACCTCTCTACGTTGGCCACCTTCTGAAAACCAAGAGAGAATTTGCTGGAACTTTAATCACTGCTGTCAAAAGATACCAAGACTGACAAAATCTCAATATCACTTCTGACACTCTGTCATTCACTGCAGGTGGATAACATTGGAGATCATGAAGGCTGCACCAGGTTAGTCAGTTAGCAACATCTGCTTCATGTGCCATTTAAGATCCTTAAGAGTTGCAGGGGATGGGAGCATAGCAGAGGCTAATTGACACTTAACCTCGAGGCTTTGATCAGTGGTGGGATTGGCAAACAATGAAAATATGCAACAAATGCATGGGGAGCTCTTACAACAGTAGGGTGAACAAGAACAATGAAATACCTTGTAGAACACTAGATACTCCTTAAACTTGCACACATCTTATCTTTCATTTTTTTCTCTTCTGCACATAGTTAGGAATGTATGTGGTGGCCAATGTAAAAATGAAAATGATGTTACTAATCAATCATGGGAATGCTTGAAGTCTTGAAAATTAAATAGAAAAATATTGAGGACTGACTGTAATTAGCTTTTCAAATATTTGCATGTCAAATAAAAGTTTGGCCAAGTGTAAAATATTGCTCCCTGAAAACATTTTATATTTCAAAAGGTCAAGAACTGTACTCTGAAATAAAGTAATCCAAATACATTTGAATAATAATTTTAAGATCTAACAATTAATATTTAAAAAATGGTTTCTTATGAAGACAGAGCCATGAATTTACATGCAAGTATCTGCTACTCTTTTTATAAGATTTTTTCTTGTATTTTAATATCTGTATACTTTAAAGCGCAGAGTTTCACAGAGTTTGAATTACAGAGTTTGAGAGCTGGTAGGAACCTCAGTGGCTAATCCAATCCATCCATATATAAGATACTATCACTTTCACAGGTGTTCATTTTAGTTGTTGAAAGGTGACAACCAAGGACTCTTTGTGAGAAAAGCAGCTTGAAATAGTTATAAAGACCTGAGAGAAAATTGCCCTAGAGATAAATGTACTGAGGGGACCTATTCAAAAACAACTCAAAGGCATAAGTACTAAATGAAGATGATGATGACTAAAGGTCATTCTTTTTACTAAGTTCATTTACATACATTACATACATTATTTGTAGAGTTTTGAAGAACATACCTGAGAAACTAAGAGTAATAGAAATATCTGGGAATTTTGAGGGAGGGGGCTATGTTTTTATACCTGATTCAGGCATGGTGGCCCATCCCTGTAATTCCTGATGTTGGATTGGGGGAGATGAACCTTCTCAAGTTTATCAATATCCTTCTTAAACTGGAATGGGGGGGAATGAAAATTTCACTACATTTGAGGACTGACAAGTGCAGAGTGCAAAGAAATTAATAACCTATCTATTCCCAAAAGATGTGATTCTCCTGATGGAGCCCAAACTTGAATTAGTTTTTCTTTTACTGCCACATTACAAACCTTATTCATCTCTACCTTGCAGATAATTTCCAGAACAATTGCTGTCTAATATGTCTCCCCCATCCAGTACTTTTTAAGTTGATTTTTTTTGTATCTAAGTGCAGAAGTTCACATATATATTTATTTAAATTTATCTTACATTCAGCCAATGTGTTTGCCAGTAATGATCCTTTTGTAGCCTGACCTTATTATACAGTGTCTTATATACTTCTCCCTCGTACAGAATTTCCTAAAGAGGAAAAAATCGACTTTTAATTAAATAGAGAATGTCCAAACATTCTTGATGAAAAGAATAGGGCTGAGTACATAAATTTAGAAGTGCAAACGGGCATCAAGAGAAAAACAAAAGTGAAATGAGTGAATATTAATAAGGAATTGTAAAAGGATAAATTGTTTACAGTCTAATGTAGGGAGACAATACACTTGAATCCCCAGAAGCCTATTATCATCAAGGGCCATAGAGGGAATATAATCAGATGAAGGGCCTTGGAGTGGTTCTATTATGTTTCAATAATCTTAAAAGAAGAATGGAAAGTAAAGGGAGAAGGAATATACTGTGAGGTTGGAGGGGAAGGAAGAAGGGTGGGAAAATTATCTCACACAATTGGGGTATACAAATATAAGCCAACACAAATAAGGAGCGAGGGGTGATGGGAGTGGGTGATGCTTGAATCTTACTCTTATGTGAACTGGTCAAAAGAGGGGAAAATACATACAGAGTTGGGTACAGGAATATATTTTGCTCAACAGGGAAACATGAGGGAAAAGGGAAAAGAGAGAATAAGAGGGAGGCTTATTTAAGGAAGGGATAGTACTAAGGATATACAAAAATGCTTATAGCAGTTGGATTTGTGGTAACAATGAATTAGAAACTGTGGGAATGCCCATCAATTAGGGAACTCTAAATAAAAAAGTTATGGTATATGAACATTATGAATACTATTTTATTCTAAGAAATTATGAAACAGATGGTTTCAGAGAAACCCGATAAGACTTTTCTGAATGGATGAATGGAGAGTAGCATGAACAGAACCAGGAGAATGTTTCATATCATGACAATAATATTGTAAAGACAAACAATTTTGAAAGACTCAGAAACTCTGATCAGCATAAGGACCAAGTAGGATTCCAGAGATTCCATGGTAAAAACAAGCTACCCACTTCCTAATAGTATAGTGATGGATATGGTCAGTGTGACAATTTATTTTACTGGGTTATACATGTTTGAAACAAAATGAAAAAAATAAATAAAATTTACATTTATATTTTTTAAATGTTTCCTAAAATGAAGGTTAACTAGCATTTTCCTTATTTACTGGTTTAGCAATCCCATAGTTATAACATTTCCTTTATCTATGAGATCATGTACAAAACTAATTTTGTTAGGATACTTAGGTGAACTACCGTTGGTTAAAATAACAAAAATTGGTACCATAAAATAATACTACCTCTCTCAGTGGTATTATCAATAAAGTGCAAGACTTGGAGACAGAAAGACCTGAGTTCAAATTCTGTGATAGACCCTTCCTAACTGTGTCACCCTGGACAAGTCACTAAAACTCATTCTCAGTTTCTTAATCTGGGAACTGGAGTTACTACTTCACAAGGTTGTGTTGAAGTTTTAATGAGACAATATATGTAAAGTGCTTGGTAAACTTTAAAGTGTTATATAAATGCGAACTTTATTATACTAGCACAGTGCCTAGCACACAGTAGATGCTTAATGTTTATTTTTATAGATTTTACTTTATAAAGTCCTTTATTGTTTTAAAAATTGTTTATTCACAACTCTTTACAACTGAGGAAACAGAAACTTATAGAATGAAAGTGAAGTGATTTAACCAGTGTTCCACATCTACTATTAAAAGTGGAGCAGACAAACTTATTAATTTTTATTAATAATTTTAATTAATTATTAATTTAATTAATAATTTATTAATAATTATTACAAACTTATGTAATGTAAGGGGGAAAGGCCCATGTATAGAATTCATCTGACTGTGTACTCTCACTTAAAGGAGGCTAGGAAGCCTGCTTCCAAGAAAGTGATGATGATGTATAAAGGCAAAGACCTAGAGAGACATTTCCTGTAATTGGTTCCAGTCAACCACTGATGTGGAAAATAGGAGGCTTTTTGATTGATTGTGGGGACATTAAAAATAGCTATTTTCTCTTTAAGTGCACTTTATGCATTTCTTGGAGTTCATCACCTAGGGCATCAGACGAATGACAGTGTTGTAAGGAGAGAGACCTTGAGGGATTTCTCTTCTCTCAAGCAATGTGTCCCAATCAAACCAGTCTCAGTCCTTGGCATCTATGTTTGTTCTTTGTTCTAGGTGGAGATATTGATGCTATGATCTTGTGAATTAAAAAAAAAAATAAAAGTCAGAAGAGTCAATGTCTGCACTTCCAGACATTCTGGGCATGCTACCATCATAGCATACCATTGTTCCAGCATGCTAGCATATGCATTTTATAGGCAACTGAACATCAGTGGCCAGAAGGGCAAGGAGTGACTTTCAGGACCCAGCCCAGCGTAGCTGAGGTAAAAGTTAATCTGATAATCATGCCATATCTGTAAGTTAATTTGGTGGAATCAATGTTATATGGAAACTGTGCTAAGTCCAGTCTACTAAACTGGTATAAAAGAGGGTGTTTCCTGAGGCATTGGGGGTAATAGGGAATTTTTATGCTTTTGTTATTACTATATCTTCAAAATAAATATATCTTTCTTAAAGCTAATCAATTTTGTGGTTATACTGAACTGGGATGATTGTTATTGGTCCTTGGAGAAGCCAGAAAACAGTCAATGTAGGGCTTAAGTCAGTGGAAGTAATGGAGACACAAAATCCCTCGGAGTACTCCCAGAATTCTGAGGGGTGGAAGTGAGAGCTGGTTTTGGAATAGTGTACCAGAAATACACACTACTTTTAGATCTTCTGCCTTCAAGTCTGGTGCTCTTCCCTTTGAATCTCAAGGGCTAGCTTGTCAAACATGAGAAAAGCATGATTTCTACAGAAGAATTTCCTAGAGCCTCCACTTCTCTGCATTATAGTTAGTGGTCTATTAACCAGGAAATACCATTGATTGTCATTGAAAAATAATTTTATTAATAATCTATCACCTAGAATACCTAGTAGGTGAGTACAATATTGCAAATGGGTTCAAAAATTCTTTCAAGGATCCTTTGGAAAGTAAAAATGGAGCTTCTTGAATAAAACTAATAGCAATTGAAAGTACATAACTAGAACTTTTATCAACTGTGGAATGAACAGGAAATATCTGATGTTCTATTATCCTCCATTCTAAGACATTATAGCTTAGTTGTCATGATGCCACACAATGACTACTTCTGTGAGGAAGAGAATGAAGAGGGAAAGGCAGCCTTTGAATCAACATCTCGCTTTTACTTTCACAGTTAATTTAGTTGAAGGGAACAGCATGGAAATTTTATACTTGATTGACAGTTATCTTCAGTAAAATAACTATGCATGTGATATTTGGAGAAATCCTCCCAAGCACCAATGCACTTCAAAACCACAACAGTCAAGTTCCCAGAAGCCATTAATTAGCTTCCCAAACAGAAAGACCTTAGCCTTTCTTGCCATGGACTTCTTTATCTGCTCCTCTCTCAGAGATCCTCTTAGCCTGAAATCAGACTTCCTGAATACTATACACTCTCTATTGTTCATACACATGAAGACTGGAGTGATTTCCACAGTGTGGATTAAAGTAGGATGAACATATTTAAGTAAGGTGTTTATTATTCAAATATTCAAAGAGCCACACCAGTGATGTCTGTGGGTAGCTCAGTCTTATACACTATGTAATAATCAGTATTAAGTGAAAATAAATACTTGACATCCTCCTTCCAAAAATACAAACACTATCAACAAACATTTAGTAAATGTCTACAGTGTTTGAGGCACTGTGCTAAGTGCTGGAAATATAAAGAAAGGCAAAAAAAGTCCCTCCTCTCAAGAAACTCACATTCTAATGGGAGAGACAACATGAAAATATCTTTGTGCATAAAAGATATAGAGTAGGTAAATTAGAGGTGATATATGTGTGTCATCTAAACATTGCTGATGGAGCAATAGAACCAGTTGGTACTGAACCACAGGTAGACCTCTGACATTTCTATTTGAGCTCTTGGATGCTTTTGACAATCAGCCAAAGGAGAGGGAAAAAAATGGAATTTTTTTCCAATTTCCACATCGCTTGAGAGGAGAGAAAACTCTCAAGGCCGCTACCCTTATAGCACCATCTCTACACTGACACTATAACCAAATCTCTAATTCTCTAATTTTGAGGCATAGTTAAAAATGAGTTAGCAACCATGGGCTTAATCAGCATTTCATGGCATCACACAAGACTTTTCATTCATTAATTCTTAAAATTGTGGTTTTGTTGAAAGTGAACAGTGACAAAAAATGAGCCTTCTTGAAATAGAAATCTGAGATTATTCCCCAGAGAATTAATGTAGTTTAGTATTCTTGGGAGAGAAGTCAGTCTTATTTTTTGGCTTGAATTATGAGACTTGCCTCATTCAGGATCAGGATAAGACAGGCTACAGACTAAGCTTTGTCAGACCTGAACAATCCCCACAGTATTATTCTTCTCTCTCTAGTACACCTAATGCTCATTAACCTAACAAGAAACTCAATGAAAATAAAAACAATAAAGCTTTATATTTGGATGTATACTAGCACATAGACAAGGCTGCAAACTAGCACTCTGATTTTGCAATAAGCTCATTTGCTTATTAACCACTTTTAAATTTAAAAGTACATAGTGCATATGTAATTCTTGGATGTACAGCAATAGAAAGTCAATTATATAAGTGGGCACTTAACACATGAAAGAGGCAATAAACTATGAACTATACTATGCATATGATATCAGATTTAGAACTTTTATGTTTTTGAAAGCTGTCATTTTTATGTCAGCAATTGATAGGCTGCAAAATGTATCTAGTTCTATGCACATACAACTTAGTAAAAACAGACTTTTTGCTATGGAATAGAATCTTGCTATATTTCATTCTTAATTTCTTTCATGACATTTAAACAACATTTTACTGAACTGCATATTCAAAAACAAGCATTAAGCATTGGGGAAAGTAAATTGAATTTTATCTTGTATAATGATTTGATACTGTTCTGGATAGTATGATTATTTTATCAAAGTATTTTTGATCACCATAAGCATTAAAATAATTAATTTCTCCTTTAACACTGAATGTTAAAATCATCATTGTCTTTCATCCTAACCTTATGCTTTCACACAATGGTTTTTTAAGGTACCTGAGTCAACTAAAAGTATAAAATAAAGCATGTGACATTTTTCTAACCTAAGAAAACTTACGAGGTCATCAGGAGAAGTCTATAACACTGGGGTAGAGATCTGCTGAAGCCCACATGCTGTGTAGCAATAGCAACACAGCAGCAACACCAGCAGGAACAGCAGCTTTAGGAGCTCTCAGCCCAGAGATGGTAAAGGGGTCAGACAGCTGGTCAGAAAGAGATTACAGGAACCTTTTACAGACACTGGG